CAGGAGTGAATGTCCTACAGTGTTTATAAAAAAGAGTTACCAAGTGTAGTTCTAGGTACCATTGGTTCCCATGAGTCATCTTGTTAATCATGTGGGTTCGCAATCACATTTTGCGTTCTTTCCAGTTTAATAGGTAAGTCCACACTGTAAACACCTACACAAATTAGGAAACTGACTGATCTATTTAAGGAAGAGTCATTAATATCGGAACAAAGCTAAATTTAAAGGGGAAAAAAAAAGGGGGTTCCCCTCTCAAGCTTTCGGGGTTTTTTAATGCTAAAGAACATTAGAAAGACAACTATAAAACTTGGAAGCTAAACTTTGCAGCTGTCCTGCAATTGTATTAGAGACTACCTGGAAATTACACATACCGTAGCCATAAAGCAGGGAATTGAGATGTCCTGGTTTCAGCTGGAATAAAGTTAGTTTTCTTCCTAGTATCTGGTACAGTGCTGTGCTTTGGATTTAGGATGAGAATAATGTTGATAACACACAGATGTTTTAGTTGTTGCTAAACAGTGTTTATAACAAAGTCGAGGACTTTTCAGCTTCTCATACTGCCCTGCCAGCGGAGGCTGGGAGTGCACAAGAAGCTGGGAGGGGACACAGCCAGGACAGCTGGCCCCAACTGACCAAAGGGGTATTCCATACCATATTGATGTCATGCCCAGTATATAAACTGGGGGAATTGACTGGAGGGCACCGTGGCTCGGGGGTTGGCTGAGCATCAGTCAGCAGGTGGTGAGCAACTGTATTGTCCATCACTTGTTTTGTATTTTCTGTTATTATTATTATTTTCCCTTTTCTGTCCTATTAAACTGTCTTTATCTCAACCCATGAGTTTTACTTTTTTTCGGATTCTCTCCCCTGTCCCACTGGGAGTGGGGGAAGTGAGCAAGTGGCTGCGCTGTGCTTAGTTGCTGGCTGGGGTTAAACCACCGCATGAGACAAATATAAAACAGAATTTACTCAAATAAAAGACTTCATTTGATGTTGTCTTTGCTATCGAGCTGGTCAATGGGAAAAGAGGAAGAGGAAATTTCAATCTGAATGTTATAGTGCAGCCTCCCAATTGACAGGTGTAATTTGGAGTTTTAATACGGAATTTGGAGTCTTTATACAAGCAGTGACCCAAAGAACCTTCCTACCCAGAGAGCACCAATAGAGGTGCACGGGAGGGAGCCGGACAGTGAAAGAAATTGAACTTGCCTGTTTAGAAGTGCCTCGGCTGAACTTGCCAGATGAAACGGAGTGTCGTGACCAGAGCAGGAGAAGACCTCATTCTCCCATGTCTGGAGAAGAGGACCGAGGGACGTTCAGGTTCTGCTGCTGTCCACCAGAGGGGGCCCGGCCCCCGCAGTTCTTCCAGCTCCTGCGCCAGAAGGCCATTTAGCAGCTGAACAGCGGCAGCTTTTCTTTATTTCTTCTCTTGCCTGCAGATGTTCCCCCGTGATAAAGGGAACTCCGATTATTAAAATCCTGTGATGACTTAGCCCATAAGTTTTTCAATTTCTGTTTGAAGTGTAGGAGAGATTAAATGGTATTTGGTTCATATGTCTTCTTGCCAAACTCAGTTGTTGCACAGCAAGTTGCACATTTTCTGTCCTACATGGTTATAGCTGCAAATGCTGTGTTCTCTTAACTTGCTGTGAAACTGTGTCCCAGTGTATTAGGCTTGGCCTTGATAATCTTGGGCCTTGATTACTATAATGGAACGCATCTAGAAGTAAGACTTTTGGTCTGAAAAAGTTCAAATTAATTAAAAATGTGGCCGTCTGCCTAAGTCTCCCAGGCTGTAATGTTTCTCCTTGCAGTACAGTGTACTAAAAAGGGCAGATCATCACCACAGAGAAATTGAAAACTGAGTTTCAGTACTCTCTTGCTGTTTCAGTAGGCTCATTTTCTTATTTTAGGTGAGGAACCAACTGTACTATCAGCATGCCAAAAGCTGCCCTTGTTTTCTGTCAGGCATTGGGGTTCAAGTCATGCAAGCAAGAGTCATCTCAACCACAGTTATTTACTTATGTAAGGGAAATGTGTTTTAAATTAAACACAACCCCCTGCCATGATTAGTACATTTTTGTGTGTGTTTCTGTAGTGCCTTATTCCAGGCTGTTTTTCTCCTACAGCAGTAATTAACAGATCTCTGTTCTGGTTCTTACAGATTACAAAAGCATACCACTCGAAGGCCCTGGTTTGCCTCCCAGATAGGAACCTGGACAGTCCCAAAGCAGGTAAGATTGGAATATGAGGACACAAACACTCTTGCCTCTTCCACACACACAGGCTTGCAGAAGTGGGTGTCTCTTAGCACACATCTGGTTTTGTACACAATAAGGTAATACCTGTTTGTGTCATGAGGTATGTACATATATGGGTATACATATATATATTCATCACTGCTAGATTCCTCTGGTTTTTAAAGTTAAATCCTTACATGTTGAGTTTCAAAGGTGGGTTAAGTGAATGCTGAACTTTCATTAGAACCTCTCAAAATCCTCCTATGTTGGTATTTGAATCCTCAACTTTTGGCTATACTGTCCATTGTGTCTACTGGCTGGTCACTCTTAATTCATATATCTCAGAATATGAATGTTAATAGCAAGCTTATAAATCGTTTTTATGTATGGGCAATGGCTGTTGTGGGAGGATTATCGTCTGTTAGATGCAAGTCCCCTTACACTGTGCAGTTGGGTACACCTAAGCTCTTAGCAGGGTTTGTGAATTCTACAGCTTCTCCATTTAAGATTCACAATTAACTGTGGGTGAAAATGAGCAGTAGTCATTATAAGAAGGATGCCGTTCACCAGGATGTTTTGTAACTTGCTTTTTCCTGTTTGGTGGGCCACAGATTTATAGATGAGTAATGTATAACTAAAGTGGAGACTGCTGGTAGGAAACCAGAGATTTTAGCAATAATTAGAGGAATGCTGAAGGTTTTGATATCTGCAGAGGGTCAGGAGGTGGTTTGGAGCATGTGTGGAAGCTCCAGCTAACGCACATATCCCTTAAGGAAAGTGGTTAACAAGGATCCCTAACAGAACTCATGAAAAGCAGAACCTTTAGATCTCAGACTGAAAAGCCTTTCCTACGAAAGAGAGAACTTTTTCATCACATTGTATTTCAGCCTGTCTGTACATTCAGGAATGCATTTCTACATCATTACTGTTGAATTCATGTTTTCAAAACAAATGAGATTGGAGTCTTTAGCCAGGCTGTGTGCCCTTAGGGCTTACAACTTGCCTGCAGGAAGGGCTTGCTTACAAATAAAGCACCCCGATCAAGTCACATTACCATGTCTCAGACTCCTACTTAAAACCATATTTTAGGGGCAAGTTGCAAGACTAATATTCCTATATGCAGTACATTGCTGTTTCAGTATGTTGTTCATGCTCCTTTACCAAATATGGGTGAACATCTAAAACATTGGACCTATATAGAGCCCCACATCAGGCCATGGGAAGGGAATCTAAAGTAATACTCAAGTTACAAAGCTGTTCAGCACTGTATATTTAAAATAGAGACCCATTCAACTTTGTATACAATAACAGTTGTCACGGGTTTATTACTTTTGCACCTCCATGAAAGTCCTCAGACTCGGGGAGAAGAATTAGCTTTTGCACAGTCTGAAGTTGAGGTTAAAAATAGAAATAGAGTTTAATTTTCTCTCATACTGCTGAAATTGTTACATCCTTCAAAAAGGTGCCAATCTAAATAGTGAGCCAAATTAAATGAAGGAATACTTTTTATAGCCAGAAGACAGGAGCTTGTAAGAACTACAAATATTTGCTGTCTGCTGCTCATGCACTTTCCCACCATGATGCAAGCAAGCTCTAGACCCTGATGTCCACAACTTATCAATTATCATTCTTCTGAGGGTGAAAATTAACCAGTGCTTAGAAAGGAAAACATTACAGATCCTTAAAAAACCCCTAAAAGTCAGGATAATTCAAAATTTTCTTGTCTGCTTTCCTAGCACCAGGAAAGCAAATTGGCATTTTCTACGTGCTCTTCTTAGCAAAGGCATAATTGCAGCAAGAACTTTTATTATTTATTACATTTTGGCATCTTCCAGTTTGGCACTGGCATTTAGTTCTGAATACATCAAGTCAATGCAAAGCGTTAGCTGTCTACAGTGGTGATTTCTTTCTCCTCTTCAGATGTCTCTCTACAGACAAAGTACTTCACACCTAATATGTTCTCCAAAGTCACTGGCTCCATCTACTGTCAGTGGACTTTGCATTACGTTTTCAGGCCTCATTTAAAAAAAAAAATTCTGGTAGTACCTCATGGACAATTTCAATACTTGACTCAGGCCACAGCAAAGTGGCAACAATAGGTGTTACACTCTGTTCCCTCTCCCTCATTGCTTGTCCTGCCACTCTAATTGTTTCTTTAGTTAAATCTATTCCATGACCTGGTTCATCTCACAGAGTAGTGCAATTCTTTGAGTTGAGATGCTGTACAAACATCCTAGTTCGCACCTTCAGTGTAAAGTGGTGATTTCCAGGCTAAGTTAAGGTGCCTATATGAACTGTATAAGTGAGCTTGGCTTCAAAGCATAAACAAACGTGTCTGAAGGTTTTTCTGCATGCATACTGTTAGCATTGGGTAACATTTGTCAGAATACAGGTTAAAGTTAATACACAGCCATATTCTGAAATTATTATGGGCACAGTTTCTAATGCTAGAAGGTCTTGAAAATCTGTTTACATAGTTTCAGTTCTGCTATTGTATTTCATCATGCAACACCAGCAATGGGAATGCTATAACAAAAAGCTTACAGACAGAAGCATTCTATGGGCAGGAACAATTTTGTCCCTAATTCATCATGCAAATTACACCACTGTAGATGTAAGACTAAGAGATCAAGCTTCAAGTTTGTTAAAGGTATCAGGGAGCTATATTTTTTTCTGAAATTGGTGGCACCTTGACTTTTACCTGCGGCTAGCTGGTCTCTTACTTTCATTCTGTGTTTTCCAACTCCTGTCTATATAGTACTACCTACCAAATGTATAACTCATCACAAATCCGGGCAACTCCCAAACTATATCACTGTGAAATTCAACCAGCACAAAGTTCCCAGTGGAAGTAAAGTCTGCAACCTTCTCTGTCCCACAGTAAGGGCCAACTGCAGGTGATGTAGGTCGGCTTCCATCATGTATGAGCAAGAAGTCATAGATGCATCTGTCACTATCTTCCAGCTCAAAGGATAACATTTTGAGAGATATCTGGAGAAAATACAACCAAAGCACTTTGCTTCCAGGTTATATACTTTTCTCTTACACTTTGTATGTAGCAAGCACAAAAATTCCTTATGTGCAGGTGTCATTTTTTATTCTGTGTTTGCACCAGATCCTGATCCCATATTGTAATGCAAATTAGTAGCAAATTATTTGCTTAGTTCATCAGCATTTGGATTGGAAAGAGAAGCAAGGAACAAGATTGATCTTGTACACTTTAAATCATTTTCTCTAGAGAAATATAAAAACACACCTGTGCAATGTTTCAGTTTTCTAGTGGTAACTCTTACCTAGGGATTATTCTGAACAAAGCCTACTGGTGCAAGCTAAATTCATAAGAATTCACATGCATGTGTAAAGGTTTTCCCTTGCTGAACACCTCAGATACCAAGATCCAGCACAAGTTCTTAAACTGGATTTTTGTGTTCAAGTTTTTACTCTGAGAACGCCTGCTCAAAAAGTGACATTACAGCTGTTATTCTCCAAGGCAAAAAAGATTCCATTAGAGATCATTAGATCTGATGAAACCCACAGATTAATTAATCTGTGCCTTACCTTGTATCCTACTGGAGAACTGATGACCCAGAAGCATGCCTGGTTTTTGGGGTATTTATTGGGGTAGTTTGGAGAGGTGATGACTCCATTTGAGTCTGTGAAAGTATCTCCACAGTTCACTGAGGAGCAAATGAGAAAAACAGAGAAAGGCATATTAACAAGAATATTTTGGCAGTAGAAGTGAGCTTGCTTATTGTATTCTTTTTTCAAGCCAAGAAAAAAATGTGCTACCATGAAAATCTACTGCTGAAATACTTTATTTCTTTGCTTAGTATTTGTATCAGCAGCTGTACTGAAGGAACCAAAAACATGGCTGCTAAATAACCTTTGGAGGACAGGAAACAGCTGCATCTAAAGCTCTATCTGTCTTTACAATTGAGAGTTACCATATTAGCATAGCATTCTAATGGTACTAACTTACTGCATTTTCAGAAAATAATTAGCTCAAGTATTCAAGATTGCATTATCAAGCTAGATCTAATGCTATCTAGAAATGACTCCATCAAGACTAATGCAAAAAGAGTAAAGACTTCTTCAATTTTTGCTTTAAAAAAGTTTGCATTTTGAGTTGAAATAAGGCAATAACAAGTTATTTGGGCTTCTGCCTTCTAACTGAAAGCATGTTGCAACACAATAGAATTTTATCCAGCAGTCCATAATGCATTCTTCTGTTCATAAAAGAGACACCCCTCAAGTGACTACAGTAAACATGGTGTTTCATATAACATAACAAAAGCCTTTAACTCAGAAAGTGCAAGTTACCCAAGGTTAGTACCTCTCACATTGCACAAAATGCCACAAAATCTTGACTAGCCTAATGCCCAGATGTGAAGAGGCTCTCAGAAGAACGTGAGCGGGTTCTCAGGATTACTAACATGAGACCCATGCAACATTCCAGTTTCCGTTTCCTGCTAACCTTCAGCCCCATCATTGCCTAGCCTTCTGCATTAGCAATTGCTATGGAAGTGTAAAGAATAACAGAAAAAAACTACTCTGGAGTACATGTTCAAAATTTTCAGTTCTTCCATACAAATACTATTAATGCTGTTCTCCAAGCTCTGCAAAGGAGTGTTCGTACCCCTGTGGTAGGAGGCTCTGAATCCTGTGGCTGTAATGCTCTCGTCACTTGTAAACTCTACCAGCATTGTTGATCCAGATGCCACTAAGGAGGGCAGTGGTCCCTTCCCACAGTATTTGTCCAGCAAGACAGGGGAATTCTTGCTGTTTCCATTGTAAATTTTTATATAGTCAGAAGAACAGTCTGAGGAGTGCTGGAGATCAAAAGCCTCAAACTGCAGGAAAATCTCAAGAAACAAGAAAACAGATGTTGGATTTAATGCTATACACAGGGAAAGATTGAAACCATCTAATTTTTATGAAGTGAGCTAGGACTTCATATTCATTTTACTATCCATATATCACTGAAATTTTACTTATAAAAAGAGCATAGAATTTCACCTAGCTACCCTGTTACTGAGCCCAGTGATTGATGTTTGACTATTGCTTGTCTTTGAAAAGCCATCCAATCTTAACAGGATAAAAATCAAGTTAAATAATGCATCTGATAGCCTTAATAAGTCTTATGAAAATTGTTGAGACTATCTTTTCATTCACTGCATAACAAAATAAATGTCTTGGTCCACGAAAATGACTCCCAGAGGGTAGTCATAATAATGAAATAATGCTGTGTAGCCTTGACACTGTGGTTCAAACCTTTTTTCTCCTAATAAAAATTACCTTACTTCGACGGATGCGGATCAACCACAGGCAGTTGCTATTGTTCGGGTATGGGGATGGGTAATTGACAGAGGAGAACGAGCCTTTGGATTTAGGCAACACATTGCTACAGCAATCTGAAGGGAAGAACCAAACAGTATTGAAGAGAATGAAAACTGCACAAAAATGTTCCAGAATTGCCTGACAAATCTCTCCAACCATTTGCATCAGTCAAGCTTGTAAAAGAGAAATGAATTATTATTCATTCAAAACCTGTGAGTGGAATAAAGCTAGTTAAGGTACTTACCTGCTTCAGCTACTGATGTTTTTTTTAAAGACAGTAGGGCTTCACTCACATATTTTAGTTTACTAAAAAAGGCCTGGATCTTTCATGAACTTTCTTAACCTCAATCACAGGAGTAGTTTCAATGACATCAGTATATCAATTCCCATCAGCAAATGTGTGTGTATTCCTAAGTGTATGCAAAAATCAAGCTTGAAAACTAGATTCCATCAAAGCAAAGAGGGGTAGTCACTGAGAGAAAACAGTAACAGAGAGCACTGAAGTCAAGCTACAGACCTAGTGACTGGTATACAAAGTCTGATCTCATCTATCTTTCGGTGTTCCACATGTAGCCTTCATTTATTGCAGCTTGTGTAACTCCCCAAATTACAAAATATGAATATATGACATCTGAACATATGCATTTATGATATTTTTCTCTTGCTCCCTACTTTTCCTGAGATGACTGGACTTTTTGTCCTTTTTTTAGCCCTGAAGTTTTTATCCCTTTTTTAAAATTTAGCCCTTTTCTTCCAAAACATACAGATCTAATTATAGAAATTATGTAATAATGGTATTGAAGTGTGACTCATTCCCAGCCCCACTAATCAAGAATAAATATCATTAAATACTTGTTATCGCTATCTTTGAGACCATGAGAGACACTTAAATTGTAAACCTGTCTTATCTGAAGTTAAGAATTTGGGAGGAACCACTCTCAGCAATGATTTCTGTACCTAACTATCCAACTGAAGGAATGCTGATTCCCACTAATTATTGGTGTTTATTTAACTAAGTTCTGTTTATTTAACTAAGTTCTAACACAATTCAGAGCAGAATTTGGTACACTAATATTTAGGCCACATTAATGTTTCTGCTTTTTTGGTAGAAAATAATTGAATAACATCTCAGAAAAGTTTATACCATATAAATCAATTAGCCTATATCTAGGAGTCGAGGCAAAATGCGTGCATTGCAGGAACATGTTTGGTGTTTTACCTGTGTTTTGTGCATCTCAACTGATTCCCCACAAAGAGCTGTACTGATCAGCATAAATGGCACCCATACTTACTGCCCTGCAGTCATTTTCTAATTGAAAAAAATCACAAACCTGCTGGCACTACTGATGCACATGACTAAGCTATAATCATGGCTCAGGACAGCTTACGTGCTTTGCAACCTTCAGAGCTTTCCTGAAATGAGAAGTTGACAGAGGTAGCAACTATGATTTCTCTGATGGGTTTTGCTTATGTCAAAGAGCAGGGACTAGGTGAGGTTAACTCGGAATGACAGTGAATTATTGAAAGTAAATTGTCCTTTCCAAGAAGGCAGCAGCTTGGAACAGGAGCAGGTCTGTTTCCACACACATACCGGCCCTCTTGTAGGGCTAGGGAGAGATGTATTGAAAGGCCTGTGGGCTGAGTTCCTTTGGGGGATGTCTGACAGTGCCTACAGAGATCAGCTATATGAGGATTCACATGCCTTCGATCTACCGCACTTACTGCACTTGTAGAGCTTGTTGATTTTTGCTACATCCAAGTTACTCAGCCCTTCTCTCTGCCCAATGGGTACAGAAGGGTCAGGAACTGGTACAATAGTTGGTTTCCCTGGAGTGCTGGAGAAATCATACCTGTAGAAATAAAGAAATCACATTTCTAGATCACTTCTCTTAAACAGTGAAGTTTGCTAACTGCATAATCATATTCATGTACCACATGCACAGAATTTCAATGGAAAAGGGCAAGAAGCTTCTCAGAGACCAGTTAGCCTTCCCTGAAGAGGACCAGCATGGCAGCCATTTTGTGTGCAGCAGATGAAAGCAAGAAACAAGAAAAAGCTGCACCGTCCTGAGTGAGTAGAGCTTTTGCCAATGTCCTGGCAAAATGAACTGAATCCCACCTTCATGGTTCCAGAGGCCGAGGAGCAGGAATAGTTCTGTCTCATCTATTAATTATTTATTTGCTATCTGCCATTTCCTGCCTCCTGCTAGACAAGTTTTATTTCACGTCTTTGTTCAGAAGTTGTTACTTGCTAGTGGAAATAAAGGAGAAGGTACGTGATACAAGCTTGTACATTACGGACTAAAATGCAGCCTTAGACAGTGTTCCCAGATGAATATGAGGCAGCACATGACATCTTAATGATATAAAAAAACTCCGTCTTTCTTCTCTCTGTACCTAAATATTGTTGTCTGTGATCAGCTGTTACTACATTAATGAAATCATTTAGACATCAGAACTGTTTTAGATCAGTGTCTCGGTAGATTTAGACTTTGGACCATAGCCATGTCAAAGGTCTTTAGCAAGAGGCAGGAGTACAGTGAAAGAAAACGTTGTCCTAATTTTTTCTTCTATCCATATCAACTCTGTTTTCCAGGAATCCTGCTGATAAAGGAAGTATGCTTACCCTTAATTATGTCCATTCACTCAATTTTAAGTGAACAGCAAAAGTCATTCCCTGCACAGAGAAATTCTTTCTTCCTAGATCTGAGCAGAAGTTCTGAAAGCTGTTTGCTCTTTTGAAAGACATTTCAGAAAACAACTTACGCGCCATAGTGCATCACTGAAGAGTAGTCATAGGGAAGGCCCAGATTTTTGGAATTCACTTTTCCAAAGTTCCCTTGTTCCCCTGTAAGGTAGGAAAGCAACATTTCAGAACAATTATTGCTGCTCTAAGAGTACACTGCCTGCTGTCATAATCCTAAGAGTAATTTAGGATACAAATAACTGGTTCTTTTGAGATCTTGGATCTATCAAAACTACCAGAACCTTTTGAAGCCCATGGGAACCCATTTTCACTCAGTTTAGTAGGTTTCAGAATATAAAGCGAATCTCTTCAAGCAAAGGTATTCATCTGTTCATCTTCATTAGAGTGTCTCCAGATATATTTCAATGTATTATCTTGAACATTATAAGCATCCAACCTATGTCCCTAAAGCTGCATCATATCTTGAGAGGGAAATCTGGCTGACCACCTAGATCAAAAATTCAGAGGTATGTTTGGGTGACCACCAACTTGTCTTGCTGAGTCCTTCCACCAAAGGGTTATAAGACCACAAAAGAAAGGGATACAGTTTGCCTGTTACTTGCCCAAAGGACATGTTATCAGCCATGTTCTGGCTTTGTCTCTGGTCAAACCCATCAGCAGTGACTACAGTGAAGTGGTATGACTCGCATGAAGCACGGGGACTCAGTAAGATGAGCTAGAAACATTCTGTTTGAATATAGCTGCTGATCATCTCATCACTTTTAATCTCTTTAGCCTTAAAAAGCCCATATGAGGTAAGAAAGCATTACACCGATACAGGACTGGGGCCCAGAGACACAAACTGGAATTCATGTCACCTAGCTTTATTTCTCTAAGTTAAACACTGAAGCTATTCATCAAGGCTCCCAGGATAGTCAGAGGAGAGGGAGAGAAAGAGAGACACAGTTGGAGGGAGTTTCATCTGAAGGCACCTATTTCTCTCCATTGGCTGGACAGCATGAATACAGATTGTGCCCTGTGTCTCTTGTCCATGGTAAGACAGGCAAGCAAGCAATTTCAGAGCAGGGAGCTGAATGCAGTCAGCCTGGCCCCGAGGCTAATGCCCTAACCACTGAGCACTCCTTTCCAGTTCAACATCTGTACCTTCATTATTGTAACTAGTGGTTTGTAAACCACAAACCATCTGGACAAGAGTTCAGGGCTGGATGCTTGTCAGAAAAATCTCTGGAGTCTGCACAACTTGGCTGGCAGGCTTGCAATCAGACCCAGTCTCTTCCAGTAATGTCCTTCAGCACTGGTCCCAATGAGGGCTAGGAAATGCAAAGAGAAGCTTCAAAATCCTGAATTATAGAAAGTTTGGGGGTAAACATGACTTCGGAGCTTTTCATGGCTCAAAAACTCAGTTAATGCTCAAACTGGTTCTCAACAGCATTAGCTTTCCTGACTCTGTTAGGTTTTTATCTCAGTTCCTCTTATCTGCTATACTGACTTCAGAATGAATTATCAGCAAGTGCACAGCTTCTTTTGAGGTGATGAATAGAGAACACAGTTCAAATGCAGTGAAACATTTAAGCATATGGCTACTGTTTGGCACATAAGTGCTTTGCTGAATTGGTTTGCTAAAAAAGAAAAACAGCAGCCTGGCTGGACAGAGGTGCTGCCAGCAAACTAGTGTCTGCCTCATCACATGCCAGAGAGATTTGGCTGTCTAGACCTGCACACGTGTGGGGACTTAACCCATCTTTTCCACTCTAAAAAAACCCTACCTCTGCCAGAATCTAAGTGTAATGACTCAGAAGAGCTGAAAAGGAAGCTTTGGCTGAAGACTCTGAATACATTTTTTCCCCCCGAAAGTTTGGGAAAAACAAGCTGAGTTTCAAGTAGCTAAGTGGACAGCAACCGATCAGGCTGCATTTTGTCAAAACAAAGAAGTAGGATGGCTTCCAAGGTGAATTGCTGGGTAAAAACAAAACCCAGCAAACATCCACAGTACTGCAGTCCTGGCAAGAGAAAAACATCTTGTGTAGGAGAGCTGGGAAGCTGCAAAAGGTCTTGAGGTCTAGTTCTGCATCACTGAGGTCAGTGGGAGCTCTGCCATCAGCACTGTTAACAGCAGCATGTTTTTACAGGAGATGTACACTAACAGTCCTCATGAACATAGCTGTGTTTCTTCATTTCCTTTTCCCTGCATATCTTTGCATTTTTTCCCTACAGTGCTTGTGCTGCACACACTCTGAATTCTAACTCCCTTGTGATGCCAATCTTCTCAGCCCCCATGCCCGGTGAATGCTGTTAAAACACTGAAGATATAAGCCATCTCCTTTTGCATAGTCTTGTCTTCTTCACCTCTTCCCCCTCTTTTATCCTTTCATGATACTCTGTCTGAATCAGAGCTTGGTTACATCTGTGTCCTTTAGAAATGATGACATCTGAACCTGTGGACTTCTTCCTGCAAAACTAGTGTAAGATTTTATGTGTGTCTAGTATCTTTGGTATAACTTCATGTTTTCAACTCCTCTTTCCTAGCACATCCTTTGATAGCATTTCAAACGTGGCACACCCTTGCTGTACAATGGCAAGCAATTCATAGCAAAATCACACTTTAACACTAGAGCTGAAACCTCAATAAAGAACAGCACAAATGGAATTTACTTAGAATATCACAGGAATAGCTGAAAAAAGTTTGGAGAACAGCATGTTAGGAATTTGCAATAAAAACAATCAAGTTCCATCTGGAGAAAAAGATAGATATATCTTCAACTGTGCATGACAATGAAGAACTGAGTATCTTATTTGTTGAAGAGACTTATTAGCATTTGGTATTCAATTGTCCAGCCCCATCTACTATTATTTTCTATAATGAACTAAGTACACTATTATCTTTTTACAATTGTTGTGGGTTGTCCAGCTCTCTCATTAGCTGTCAGACAAGTGATTCCTTGCATCCTTTCTTCCCCTACTTTCCTTATATCTACGACTTTCTGGCTTTCCCTGGGACATCCTACCATTGTCTCTACCCTCCCCTTCCCAGAGCCTGGAGCTCTGTATATGCTCCCGTATTCCCAGCACACAGATCAAGGGCACATGCCCAAACTATTCATCCTGCATTCCTTTCCCTAAATAACGTTCACCTGTTTTCTCCCTACAGATTTACCAGTCCTGATAGCTCCCCACTGCTTCATCTTTTCATGGCAGTTTATATTATTCTCTCCTCAAGGAGGAAATAATTGCAGTCCTTCCTCTCACATCATGCCAGGTCCCAGAATTTTGCACATGCTAGCGGTTGCATGTGCTTCCATTCTGTCCACATTCAGTCCCTTGTTCATCTACATTTTAGGCTATGTGCATTTCACTGCCAGTGCCAAGATGCCTACCTGCTGCCTTCCCTATTTCCATGGCTTTCCTGAAGACAGAGTTGCTGTGTGATTCCCCACCACGATCTCTGAATATTATGTTTCACCCCACCTCAGCTAAAAGTCCCATAGTCTTGCCTTCTGGCCAAGTCCTTGCAACAACATTTTGCATTCCTGATGATCTTAGTATTTTGGATATAAGGTGAGTCTGGGCTCAAGATGGCAATCAAGATAAGAACATAGAGCTATTTTTAGGCTGCATCTGCCTTGGAGGACCACACTAACGTAGTTGTAGCCACAGAAATTCCCCTAGTACAAACACTGAACAAGAAATTCCATCACAGTGAATGTGCTGCTGCTGCAATTCAGTCAGCATTAATCATGATTCTTATTTGCATTGCTGTTCACAGGAGAAACATTCTCCTTTATCTGAAAGTATATGTTTTCTCTTAAGATTTAGTGGACATACCTGCCACAATGTGTTCCCACATAATCTTGACAAACCTGTCCCGATCACTCCGTGCCTGTTCGTGGATGAAACCCAGTGCATGGTTCATTTCGTGCTGAATTGCTCCTTTATCCATGCAACCATTTTTCACCAGGCCTACTGCTTGACGTCCTCCAATTTTTCCAAAGTAAGACCAGCAACTAAGAATAGGCAATCAATAACCAAAACAATCACATTCAGCAAATACAAAGAAATAGATACACTGATTATGCCAAGGGCCTCCAGATGTGCAGTCACAGAAAAGGACATGCAAATAGTCACCGGTGTGAGATATCTAGGCTTCCGAAAGCTGCCAAACTACATAGGGGGAGAAATAAAGCCTTTGTGATGAGTATGGCAAATTTTAAAACAGTAAAATGGCTATATCAAACTAAGATGAAGCAGTTTAAGTAGTTAAGCAAAGAACCTGAAACAATTCTACTTCTTTAAATTTTTACAACAATTAAGGAAAATATTTCATTTTTAATTATACCCCATTATCTTTAAGTCCACACACACATTTATTCCTAGAGCCTATTAACTGATGTAACTACTAGTATATCTAAAGAAAAATGAAATATTGTACCTGCTCCCTGAATCTTGACTGCTAGGATTAAAAAGGGCAATTACTTAAACCCACATTAAAACAGAAAAGAAGCTGAAAGACCTTTTGAGTGTTTCCACTCCCAGGAGACAGGGAGCTTACCTCTGCCCACGTTCAACATACACGTAGTCTGTTTCTGTAGTGCGATTTACAAACTGCACACAGGTCAATGTGGAGATCTCTTGCAGAGCATCAGCAATCCAAGACCTCTCTGTCATTGCTAGAAAGAGGAGGAGGCCAGGAGAAATCTTCCTTGGTTAGTCAAAAACCCGGTGCATTGATGGGGTGCATTCCTTTAAAACTTCACAGCACTTGTTAGCTTTTTATCATACTAGTATAATAAAAAAAAGGCACAGAGCCTTCAGATGTTTAAGTTGATTGGACTTTTAAGGGGAGATGTAAGAATTATGGTTGGCCCTTATGCATATTCTATAGGAGACAGCTGATGGAAGGGAAAAGACTGGCGTTGTTTCTTCCATTAGACAGAACAGAAAAAATGAAATGGTTTCAGATCCAAATAGTTGGATTAAAGTATCCCAGATGAGCCATCTGACCGTAGCTAAGCACCAGAAACCTATTTTGTTTATCAGAGATAACAAATGTCTGCTACACACCCCTTGGAATCACTTAAGACAGCCAGCGTTCAGAGGCTCTGAAGATCACAGTGTTTCTATTCAGGTACCAAATAAAGATAAGAGTGTTTATCTGCTTTTGAACATTTTGGCCTAATTTGGCTTCCTCAGTTATGAATTATCTACAACTGATTTGTATCTCCATTTCCTCGTCTTTAAAGTCTGGAGAGAGAGAGGTAGATTGAATAACCTTCACCTAACCACAAGAGTATATGCTGCAGTTCTAGAAGTACATGGGCAGAGGAACAGCCTAGGTAACACAGAGACTGGGCTTTCCTCAGCTCAAATGATATCACAGATTCCCTTTCCCCAAGAATGGGAATCAGGCACAGGCTGTATTTCACTTCCATGCCATTTTCTCTCAAGGTAAGATCTTTTAAGAAGGGTCTGTATGGAAGCCTCAGTCCAAAGAAGCCTCAGCAGGAGATGGAAGACCTGCACAGCCCATATGAAGTCTTCTGGAAGAAAATTTTCTAGATTAAGGCATCAGTCCTGCAGCCTTTTGCACAGGACAGAGCTATTGACTGACTAGAGGGAAATAATAAGGGGAAAAAATATCTCCAAGGATTTTTCCTCCACTTTTGCCTCTACAGGACTTCTAGAGCAGGAATATTTCTGAGACATTCTAAAGAAAATTACAGTGTTCAAAAAAGTGCTCCTAGTGGTAATTTTGACAAAAATAAATTCATAATGTGAACCAATTATTTTTCTTCTTCTGTACTTGTTAAATATCAAAGTGCATTGTAGCTAGCAGGAATGAGCTAATATTTGTAATTAAAATTAATTATCTGGTATTTATATAGCAACTACTGCCCAAGTAACCACATATTTTAGTGTCTGTAATGGAAATGTTTGGAGTTTTAGCCAAACTACCATAGGACTAACAGATTAGCAAAAGAGACATGTCAATAAATTCTCATTTGGACAAAGATTGCTTTTGGTGCATGCCACAGAAACATAAAATAACAGAGAGTATAGGGACTGGAAGATCAATGCTAACTTTACAGCATCTATTTGCATACACTCACAGAAATCAGAAGAGATGTTAATTGGAACCTTGACTAGTCCATCTTGTGACTTGGGCCATAAACAACTCTCACAATTAATTGCACTGCGTCGTCCTCTTCTCAAGAGTATGTCTCCTTCATACACAACTATTTCACTACCTGGCAGATGAAGAAAATAAAGAACATACAAGGCACTGAGAAGGCAAATAGATGTGCAAAAGGGAGATGAGAGGTATACACCTAAGCAAGCTTTTGTACCTTTGGAAATTTCTTTCACTGAAGTTCATTTCCCAATAAGGTGAAAAGGGTTAGTAAATTAAGACTGGGTGAATCTAACATTCACAATATGATAAGACTGGTCAGGTCTGCCTTGCTTCCTGGATAGAAAAGATTAATATTAATATAGATGTCATAGTGCAGCTGTAATCAAAGTCATGACTAAATATATTTTAGCTTAAGAAGCTTTGGGAGCCTTCAGAGTGGAAGGCTAAGTATTTTAAGTCATTGTTCTCTTCATTAGAGCTTGTGGAATTAAAGAAAAATCATAACTGACCTCTGTAAAAATGGGATGAATCATACAAAAGAAATTACTATTTTTATCATGCATATTGAATGCATGCAAGCTATTAATTTCCAGGTTAATTTGACAGAAGACATTGTGACATGCTCGTCAGTTCTGACTCCAAAATACTTGGAATACTTTTCTCACAGACAAGAGCTATTGGTTATTATGCCAAAAACGTACAATAGTCTTGGGTACAGCAGCAGGGAAGTGCCTTATATCACATAGGAAAGAAATCAAAGTGAAAAGTATTCTGATTTGCTGAGGCTACATATGGAAAAGAACATTCCTTGTAGCAATTGCTCAATAAGTCTTCTTAATTTCTTTATCACAGCAGCATAAATAGTCACACTAAATGAGACTTTAAAACATATCTGAATTCTGTGAATTGTTTTCCACTGATGCTGGAAAACATTTTCAAAGAGAAAAATGTACCAAATAATGAGAATGAGGTATAGAGAAGAAGTCCCACCAAAACCTACAGTTATTTATATAATAATTACAATCAAACTCACCTAAGTCATTGTTTCTTGTAGCTATCTGGGAAAAAAAAAAAGCATAGCTGTTAATACATGCTTATCTCCATAGCAGAAAACTTCTATCATGTAGAATCACAGCAGTAAAAGTTTGTAACTAATTTTAAGATCATCAGAGCAACTCATCAGCAGCAATGTAAATTCTCAACATCTGAGAGCAGGGACGCACCTGGACAGGTTTACTTAGTGCAAAGCTATAGAGAAATGCTAAATGAGTTGGCAGAAGAAAGTACTTCATCTTCAAGTTTCCAAGATGATCTTCTCTGCTCTGCAGCTCAGTTCTCAAAGCTGTGGTTAGTTTACTTGGGGCAAGTTTTATGGGAAAGCTGCTGCTGTTTTTAACAAGTGTAACAAAATTAGATAACAAGAAGTATTCTCACAAAACAAACAAGCTGCAGGACCTCTCAAGAGAATTTCCAGGCTCTCATTTCTTATTTATCTTCAGAAAACAGAGGAAGTGGAGCAATAGGAAAGAAAATCCAGCAACCTTACAGTGACTCATCTTTAATTCTATGAAGAACCCATGAGCTGCTGCAGGTCCCCTTGCTGCTGACCAAGGGACAGGATATCTGGTAGCAGTCTGTTTACAGCAAAACTCAATGTCAGGGAACTCTTTGATCCATCCACACTGACTACCTGTCCTAGAAACAACTTAGCTTGCTGCCAGGAGCCACCCCGCTCTGCAGAGCCCATCTGTCAGCCTGCCCCTCTGTGCAGAGCTCTCAGCCAGGCACTGCTGGCCAGGAGCACTGGAAATCCGTTGGAGCCACAGACAAATCTGATTGTTGGTTGAAATTGTTTTTCCAATACCGTATCTTGCAATATAATCATCACTGGCAGTGATCGTGTGTCTTTCTGGAGTCTACAAGTAAATAAAACCACCAGCTCCCAGAATTTTGGCTTCCCACCTTCTGGGAAGCCCTCCTTCCTTTGATGTCCAGGAATAGAAACAAGCCTAGAAAGGCAGGCTGAATCCTAGAAAACCCACACTGTAAGAGTAAGCCTCACAATGGGAATATTCACGTTGAAGCCGCACGAACACCACTGTAGGCAGGCAGATGTTGTTTTCTCCTCCCAGCTTGAGCCCGTGCACAAATACCTGGGTGCTATAGAAAATCCTAAGGATTTTCTGCATCAGATCTTTAAGAAACAAGCAAGAAAACCTTTTGAATTGTCTGCAAAGGCAAAATTCAGAGGAATCTATGTGGTTCACAGCAGATCAAGATGGCAGAGGGTACCTTTCCAGATAGATGTATGGGCTGGTCCTTTGTTTTTAAGGAGTACTTTGCTACAAAAATTTTAGCTGATATTATGTAAAGCTTTGCTACTAATATTTTCATTTTACCCTACTAATAGTTTGTTCCTAAACTTTCTAAAATATTCCACATTTCTGTAACTTCCACAATTCATCTACAGTTACAATTTCCATGTAGATTATACTGCAATAACAAGGTGCAGACATAAAGGACCACTTTTGCTTTGGCTGATAGGAGGATGAAGTTCAGAAGTCCTCATTAATTCGTTACACTGATAACCAGAGGTCCTCCCGCACAGTTCTGAGCAACCTGTGTGTCTATTCAAGATCGAGTTCAAAAGAGAGACAGAGGGAGTCACAGGAGCACATTTCTGCTGCTACACATCACAAAATGACAGGGGAGAGAGAAGTTATTAGACAATAAAAGCAAGAGAACAAGACCAGATCACTGTGCAGAGCCTGAAGTTGGGTCACTCCAGGCGTGCAGCAAGGAGGGACACAAGGGACCTTTGACGTTCTGCAATGCAGATTTGCATATTCATTCCAGGGAAGGCTGTAATACCTTACTGACTCCAGTTGCAGACCACAGACCAGAGCAACCCTTGAGTCAGGAAATCTATCCCATGGTTTAATTCATTTTCCTGACTGCCAGAAAGAATTGGGTATTTTTCAAGGCTAATTAATAGACCAAAGCCTCATATCACCTGATAACACATTATCAGAAGTTGTCTCGTAGAGCAAATTTCCTTTTTGATGCTGCTTGTCTCATTGTTTGCTTTGATATTCTAGCACAATAATGTTCAGGTCTCAGTCTCATTATCTATCCAAATAATTTGATTACACAGCTGTAACTTGCATTCTTTCCCCTGTATGCTTTTTCTTGCACCGTCATTTGACATTTCTCATTCTTAGCCACACTGTCCTTGATCTGCCAGATTTTTTATCACTGCTGTTTGTTTGTAATTCCAATATGATGTTTATCACATTCTTAGTGATGCTTACTTAGTTTCACCTTCATTCCATGGCAGAGAACGGGCACTTCTTTCACTATGTAATCCAAGTCTCTCTTGGCATAATACTAAATGACAAAGGTAGAAAAACCAGACACCTGTTGGTGTCTAAGTGTAGGTTTTTTCCTAGCTCTGTATCAGTAATAGATATCATCAGAAGCAACAGGAATAGTAAGTCCAATAATCCTTTCATAACGAGAAAGTACAGAGGCCACTCTCCCTGGCTAAAGCATTAGAGTGTATGAACCTAAAGGGAAACAAAATTCAGGAGAGCGAAAGGCCATGTGATTGTCTAAGGATCCAGTGGAATATCACTCTAATGTTCAGTTTCTCAGCTATTTGCACAAAAGGTTATACAGACAATTGCTAGTGAACAAGAAGTTGGCTTAACTCAGCTGCACGTTCACCTTAAGAAGCTTATTACTTTTCAAGAGGATTCACAGTTATCTCTACATGTTTAAACAGGCCAATTGTTCTTACTGCATTAAGAGTCCTAATTTTTAAAGTCACAATAACAGAAAGTATTGCACTTACTACATGACAGTTCTTTTTAAACCTGCTTTGTTTGACGCTGCATTTGGACAGAAACCAGATTCTGCTGAGGAGCATTTTAAAATAACTTTGTAGCCATTAAATGAAACTATTATATTACACTGTAACAGGCTGAAAAGAGTTAAATAATAAAAACATGCACAAAACTTCCTTGGTGTTTAAAATTATGTTATTTAACAGTTATCTGTTTACAGATATTGTGTCCTTCAGGATGCTAGGATTAGTGAAAGCATGCAATTCATGCCTCATTATTTACTGATTGGGAGAAGAAAATGAGCTTTCCTGCTTTCCAGTTGCCAGTCAGTTAATCAGTTTAGAATAATTAAATCATTGACCTTGATCAAGTGCAAAAAAAGTTTTGGCTCTTGCAGAAAAGGTCAAAATCACAAAAATAACATCTTGTAAATCTGGTCCCTCGTGCCCAGTCCTTACTTTGACCCAGTTACCAGGCAGCAAAAGCAAATGTTTCATAGAAAAGGTTACTATCGAGCATAGTAGATTCTTGATACATAAACACTTGAATGCTGGTTTTAATATATTTAGTTGATTTTAGTGTAGGTTACAGTATCTTATGCCATAGCATATATTGACATATTTCCACATTTTAGGTACATTTTTATTTAAATGAACGATTCATTCTTTAATGGAAAAAAATCTCCAGTGTAAATACTGAGATATGCTGAAATTAGTCTGAAATCAATGCATGTTTGGACTTTGTTCCTCCTAAACCACTCCTGCAGCAGTATGATCTCTGCTATTTTACCACCATTTATCTTTTACCTTTCCAGTGTCAGAATGATACCATAATGTTAGAAAGGAGAGGCACAAGTCCAAAGACTCTGCACTGGAGATAACTACAGGTGTCAGTGAGCCTCAACCTGAGATGATGGCTAGAAACAAGAATCAGCTGAAACTTTTACAGCTAATTTGGTTTTATCTGGTTTGCAGTAGCTGTAAGCTGAAGAGAAGTTTACTATAGTTTTTGAACTTGATGCAAGGGGAAAGTCAGGTTCCTGGAGACAAGCTACAAAGGTTGGTTTCAGTATTTGAGTATTTAAGTACCCAAGGGCTGAGCCAGAGGGGACTGGCTGGTCTACAGCTTCTCTGGTTCTGATAAAACCTGATCCAAAACCAGTGTCCAACTGCAAACATGACCCTAATGCTTTGTTTTATTTACAAGTTGTTCAGGCACATAACAGAAGTCCTGATCTAATGCTGCCATTCTCTAGTGGTTTGCCATTTGTGCATGCTTCCAGAAAGTCAGGAACTCCCATCACCACTCACAGCCTGTTCACTCCTTTGATCCCTGTCACAGACCAGTAACTGCTTCCTGCAGAAAATGCTTGCAAGCATGAAGAGTCTGTCCCAAAATCCATGCTGAGAAGCAATGCATCAGTTTTAGCCCAAACCATCTCAAAACTGTGTTTTAGCATCTGCAGCTTGTTACTTCATTATTCACCTTCTCCAGATACTTATAAATTATACATACAGATGCCACAATAGATTTCTGAGGTGCTCTGAGGGCCCATTAGGAAAATGAGCCATTTACCTGCACCATTTTCCCTAAAGGATTTTTAAATCTTAAGATTTATTTTATCAATGAATCCTCCTAAAAGCTTTTGAACAGCTCATACTGCAGAACCAAAATGCTCTTCTGGCTCTGCCCTAGCTCCACGTTAAGCTCACAACATAGGTCACTGCCCCTTTCCCTTGAAACAGAACAAATGCAAACGGGTCAGAGGGAAGCAGCAAGGAAAGGGGTACTCCATAAGGGGGGGTCCTTAGGAGCTGTGACTACAGCAGTCCCACGGTACCTCAGCACAGCCCATTGACAAGGTGTTGAATCACACCCAGAGCCCATCTAGAAGCTGAAGGCAGAGACAAGACTAAAGACAAGGATACAACCTAGGTCCGAGGTCAGGCAAGGAGACTAAGACCAGACTGAAGATGCATCCTCCCACAACACAGCCCAAGCAGGAGGTAAGGGCTAAAGGCCAGAGCTTAAATGGAGCCCCTGGGCCGATGGGCAGAGGCCATTGGTAAAGGCCCCAGGTGAGGCCAGTCAGGAGCCATTAAGGTCTGTTGGCACCCTCCACCCTTAAAAGCTACAACATGTTGCAACAGCCTTCTTCATTTCCCCTACCCCAGCGTGGACTATCCAGTGAACGCAACTGGAGCTTAGATAACTGTATCTACTGGGTCATTGTGGGCTTCTTCAGAGACCTCTAGGAGATTGTATTTCAGGCTCTGTGAAAGCTATGTTGACTCAGCCCCAACATATATTCATCCCTGAGTCTACTACTTCCATTTTTATTACATATTTCTTCCAACCCTGGGCATGGAAGAAACACAATCACTCATCCTGGATCCTTTTTAAAGTTTGATTGTACTTTCCGGTAGCTCTGGCGCTGTGGTGATTTA